CTTGACGTTTGACCGAAGCTAGCGCCGCCCAAATTTAAATTACTTCAAATTTTAAAAACAGCAAATTTAATGTTAACACTGTGTAAAAAATGTGTATATTTTAAAAAATGTTGATATAATTACAAAATACTTGTGACATTTAGAAAAAAGTTCATGATTTTCAAAAAATGTACGTGGAATTTTAAAAAATATGTATACTCCTACAATGTAAAAACAATACTTTACCATTATACAATGTGCCATAAATTTAACAAAATGTTCGCGCATTTCAAAAAATATGGTCGTGACACTTAAAATATGTTTCTACAATGTAAAGGCATTCACGTAGCTAAAACATATTTTAATCGCTATCTGAAAATGTTTAACATGTATTTAATTTTTTTTCATAACCTGGATTTGAGAAAATGTTAATCATATATTTGAAAGGTGTCTACATGTAAAAAAATGTATACGGAAAATGTATAATGTGTATGAAAAAAAAGTAGACATCAAAATATATCTTTGAAAAAGCAATCTGTATAAAAACAATGTTTTTTCTACGAGAAAAGTGTACAATGTGTGTGAAAAAAATTAGATATACATTGAAATTTTTTTGAAAGATAAAGGAAACAGAAAAAAAATTAAGGAACCCGGTAAGAAACCAGGAACCCCGAAACTCAAAAGAAAAGAATGAAAAATAAAAAAATGAAATCTGCTAAAGAAACGCAGAAAACAAAAAAAACAAAAAAAACTATGAAAGCGGCGTTTAGGCTCTTGAGTGCATCTGCACCCATGCTTTTTTTTCTATTATTATTTATTTTACGTTTACCATGTCTGCATGAGTCCGGGCACCGAATTGAATATTCGCAAACCATGCCCATATAGAATACAGAGAGAATAAGACAGGAGTAGAAGGCCTACAAAATGCTCCCATTTGAGTTGTTGCTTGTACAGACTTGTAACCAAGATTCCTTGAAGAGTTATCAGATCAATTTACAGCGCACAATTAATTTCATATTAACAGTTGAATAATATCATATCAATAACGAGAAATATCTCATTCACGGGTTGGCCGGTGCATGCCAGTACTACCAGTAGCTACCACGATTATACTCCCTCCGCCTGAAATAAATTAACGCCCAAACAGATGTATCTGGACGCATTTTAGTGCTAGACACGCCCGTTTGTGCTTGAACTAATTTCGGACGAGGGAGGGACCGATGGAGTATTTCTCGCCCAAAAAAAGCTACTGCTACCACAATTCTATGTAGAGTGCGTGCGTGTACAGAAAGAGAAAGGGAAGCGTCGTACCGATCGAGGTGCTCCGCTCTCGCAAAACGGAATCCGAGAGAGAGGGGAAAAAATAGTGCTAGAGATATTAATCCGGCCCGGTAAAACGAACCCGCTGGAAAAAAAATGAAGAAAACATTTAGTAGATGAGCAAGTAAGTGAATACATGTTGTGGTAATTAATCAAGAAACCCCCTCATGGGCATGCTCTTGTATTTATTTTTTAATTTTTTATGAGAGAAAGAAGAGGGAGGAAAAGAAAGAAAGAAAGAAAGAAAGAAAGAAAATGTGGTGGTGAGCGTCCCCGCTGCGTCTGCCACCACGCATCCATCCATCCTTGAGTTTGGTCTGCTCACTGGTGTGGCTGTGGCGTCACGCAAGCCTACCAAAAAGCTTGGGGATTTCCTCCTCCTCTTCTCCACTTCTGAACCTTCCTTCTTCCTCCTCTCATCGAGCTCCCCCACAAGCAATCTTCTTCTTCTTCTTCTTGTTAAGCAGTGGTGGTGGCGCCAACTCGGCCGGCCGGACGCGGCACGCACGGGGATCTCATCTGAAGAACCTTCCCTCCAGGTAAGTATAAATAAACTGCTACCTGGCTGCCTGATTAATAATTACTCCGCTCTCCTGTCTAAACCTGGTATCTTGTTTGTTGTTGTTGTTGTTGTTGTTGCCAATTATTCTTTTAGATTAGTAGTATTGACCATCTGCATCTGCATGCATCCTGCGGGTTTGTTTAATCCCTCCATTTGCTCAGCGTGGAGGATTCCCATCCATTCATTCATGCGTAGGATATTTGTTTGTTCTATTTCGGAAGAAAAAAAAAGAGAGGATATTTGTTCCATGTTATTTGCAAAACTAGCATTCTGAAAATATGCATGTATATGGTGTGGGGGAAGAAGAGTTAAAAAAAAGAATTTAAAGAAAAAGAGGGGGCATTCCGAGAATTGAACTCGGGACCTCTCGCACCCTAAGCGAGAATCATACCACTAGACCAAATGCCCTTTCTTGTCTTCTTTTGCATCCTCGTTTATATCTTCTTTATCACTACAGTTCGCCAAGATACTCCTCTGTTCTTTGTACACACATAAATTAGTTTTTACAAACAACTTGTTCGCCAAGATAAAACGATTCTTCTTCCACCTGTCGTCCCTCCCTCCTCCAGGCAGACCAGGCAAGTCGTCCGACCGATCCATCCATCTTGGGGTTCGAATCTGTCGTGGTGATCGATCGGTCGAGCTCCATGATGAATGTGCTCTCCAGCGGCAACCCCCAGAACCTGCGCATAATCCATCAGCACGACATTTCATTATGTCCACGGCGGAGCAGCTCGGCCCAGCTCGCAGTCACCGTGCACCCTCCTAGCCGCACCAGGAGGCCATCCTCAGGCTCCTTCCACCGCGGCGCCGTCGTCCCGGTCAGGGCCGTCGCCGACGGCGGCGGCGAGTCCAGCAGCGGCAAAGACGACGACGACGACGACGACGAAGAGAAGCGAAGAAAAGACGACGAGGAGGTGTGACTGACCGACAACGTCTGTCTGTACACACTAATCTTGTTGACGAACAGGGAGCTGACTGACTGATCGATTGCAGGGGACATCGTCGTCGGCGTCGAGGCGGAACCGGGAGGATCTGGAGCGGCTGGTGGGGGCGCCGGCCGACGACGGCTTCAGCGGGCTCGACCTGGCCACGCTCATCCGGAAGCGCTACGGGCGGAGCTACGACGTGACGCTCATCCGCAAGGTCAGGACACACCTTTCTCACACAGAGGAATTTGGAAGCAACATACGATAATGGAGGAAGCTGCACTGCAACTGCAACTGCAGGAGTTCATGGGGCGGAACCTGCTGGCGATGAACGTGATGTGGAAGTACCGGGAGCAGCGCTCCTTCCCGCTGACGGAGGAGGAGTACCTGCTCCGGCTCGACGACGTGGCCAACACGCTCCGCTCCTGGGGCGCCGTCGCCCACGTCCGCAACTCCCTCGAGACCACCAAGGACCGCCCCCGCATCGGCAAGGCCGTCAGCATCTTCATCGACGTCGACTCCGCCGGCGGCGGCAACCGCTCCGACGAATGGATCTACAAGTGAACTAACATAATCCTGAATTCAAGACCATATATGCGTGCAGCAGACTACATTGCGTACACATGCTCGTATAGCCGGACCAAATGATTCCTGCGCAGCACAGCAAATTATTCTCACGCAGCCTACATGCTGAATTATGAAATCAAACAATCGGTTGATTCAATCCTTCAAATGAGCAGTACAAAGGCAACAAACATGTAGGACTTCTCTCCATAGTGCTTGGATCGTGAGAGGTCTACAGGTTCAGAAGGTGCCCACTGCTCCCAAAGTTACACAGAGAACAATATCTAAAGCACCAAGCTAGAGGTGAATTGTGATGATAAAGAAGTGGTACAGACTGCATCTGGTAACTGAAGTTTAATAATGCCCACCTACAGGCGAGGCGACAGCAGAGCTCCCAGTAGTTTGAAATGCAAATACCTTATATGAGAAAAGATGATCTATCTTGTGCCCTGAACCAGAGGAACTGCTGGAGTCAACCGGCCACAAGCACATGAAGAAACACAAGCGTCTAATAGATTTCAAGTGCAAGAAGAAAACGATAACTTATCACCCGCTTACAGGCGACAACATACTGTCCCAAGCGGGCGGCGAGTTACGCTTTCATCTCGGCGAGCGCGAGCTGGAAGGCGTCCGCCTCAACCTTCTCCCACTCCTCCTTGGCATCACCCTTGGCGGCCTTCTTCATCGCCATGCCCAGCTCCTTGGCATGCTTCACCTTCCTGCTCTTCACCAACCCTTGGATCAGACCCTTGACAGCCTCGAACGGCGGCGCCCACTTGTTGGCCAGGCACTCCTTGCACACCTCCAGGGCAGGGACAAACGCGTTGTTTTCGACCAGCGCCTCGATCAACATGATATAGGTCTCGAAGTTGGGCGACACACCTTTCCCGTTGAGTCTGGGCACCTCCGGCATCCTCTTGAACAGCGCCACCGCAGCGCCCACCTCTCCCTCCTTGCAGAGCCCGCCGATGACAGTGTTGAAGCACTCCCGGTTAGGCGGGACGCCGTTGGCGCCCATGGCGTCCAGCAGCTCCTCGGCCTCGAAGCTCCTGCCCTTGGCGCAGAGGGCGGACATTCGGAGCTTGTAGGTGGTGACGTTGGGCTTGAGCCGCCTCTTGCCGCCAGTGACCTCCTTGAGCAGCAGGTCGAACGCGGCATGGTCACCTGTCTTGAGGTACCCCTTGAGCATCTCGTTGCAGGAGACTATGTCTGGCTGCACGCCGGCCTTGTCGGGCATTCCGTCGAACACCTGGCGGGCGCCGGCGACGCCCCCCGTGGCGACCATGCACTTGAGGAGCACGTTGTGGGACACGACGCCCGGCGTGATGGAGAGCTCGGCGGGGAGGTCGCGGAAGGCCTCGATGGCGCGGGCGGGCTGGCCGGCGTCGTGGTAGGCGGCGAGGAGGGCGGAGAGGGCGCGGTCGGAGGGGGGCACGACGAGGCGGAAGGTGGAGAGGGAGTGGGTGGGCATGCCGGCGGCGGCGTAGAGCGCGATGAGGCGGATGAGGAAGCCCTCGGAGGGGTGCGGCGCCGGGAGGGCGGTGAGGGAGGCGGAGAGCACGGAGGAGACGAGGTCGGGGCGGGCGGCGGCGGTGAGGCGGGAGACGGCGAGGGAGAAGATGGAGCGGTCGCCGAGGAAGGGCGGGTGCGGGATGCCTTTAAGGAAGAGGGCGGCGAGCTCGTCGGGCGGCGTGGCGGCGCTGCGGATGGAGTTCTTGATGCGGACGAGCTCGGCGGGGCTGATGGTGGGGGCGGTGG